CAGGTCCGCGGAGGCAGAGTGCCCGGAGGGCTTTGCAGTGGCGCGGGTCCTTCCTCTCCCCGCACTCCCCTGGGCGACGCCCGGATCCTAACCTAGCCTGTTCTCTTTCCAGCTCTGTGCCTTGGCAAAGGGAAAAGGGCGCTCGGACACGCGTTCCAGGCGGGTCCGGAGAGCCGTTCCTGGGCGCCCTCGCTCTCCTGACATCTTGCTTGCCCGCAGTTACTCCCTCAGCCCTTTGCTCCTGCGCATCCACTCCCACACCGGGGAGCAGTTTTGGTTGGCGTGGGCTCCGTCCTCCCTCGGTCGTGGGAACGGTGTGCCCCAGAGAGGAAGTCTGGTAGGCCCGGCCCCTCCCAGCCCAGCGCCCATGAGTGCCAGGGCGCCCAAGGAGCTGAATTGCCATTTGCAACAACGTGGGTTTGCAAAGAAATTTAATAGAACTGTAACTCTAGGCATGTCATTGGGAGTTAAGAGTGTAGAGAAAGCCGCGGCCAGGGCACCGGCGGCGGCACCTGCATTACGCAGGTGGGACAGCAGCTCTTCCAGTCCTTCTCCTCCACGCTGGTGCTGATTGTGCTGGTCACCCTCATCTTCTGCCTCATCGTGCTGTCCCTCTCCACCTTCCACATCCACAAGCGAAGGATGAAGAAGCGGAAGATGCAGAGGGCTCAGGAGGAATACGAGCGGGATCACTGCAGCGGCAACCGCGGGGGCAGAGAGGCCCCGGCCAGTGGCCAGGCCCCAACCCACGCAAAAGAAACCCGGCTGGGGAGGCAGCCCCAGGACTCCGCCTTCTGCGACCCCTCCAAGGCCTCCTCCTCCTCCTCCTCCTCTTCCTCCTCCTCCTCTTCCTCCTCCACCCCAGGCCTCCCATGCCAGGGTCCCTATGCTCCTCCACCTCCGCCGCCTGTCCCCAGTCCACAAGGAGCACATGCCACCTCCTCCTGTTTGGACACAGCTGGCGAGGCCCTTTTGCAAACGGTGGTACTGTCCTGATTGTCCAGCCCCTCTCCTCCCTCTTCCTGTCTCCAGCATCATTGCAGCCCTCGCTGTTCCCCTCAGTCCCCCCTCTCACTTTCTCTGACCTCTCCCTGTCCTTCTTTCCTTGTTTGCCCTCCCCTTACTATTTCTCCTCCGCCGAGGCACTGTGTGGTATTTGTAAATATTGGGTAAGGAAAGTCTCGGAAGAAGAAATAACGCTGATAAGAATACTTTATTATTAATATTTATAGTAATTATTATAATACTAATAACACAATCCAAGCGCATGACAAATCACGTAATTTCTCATTGTCAAGGAAGGATGCGTCTTCCCTCTCCACTCTGCGCCCCCCACAATAAGGAGGAGAAACCGCACATGCTACCAAATACTTAACAGGTATTAACCCGGAGCAAAGAGTGGAGGGGCCCAGTGTGTTGTACATAGCTGTCAGGTTAAGGTTCCCCTACCCTCCGCCCCCCAAGCTTTCACTTTCTTGTCAGCTTCCCTCCCTTCCTCATTCCCTCCCTCAGCCAGGCTCAGGCAATAGTATATGATGAAGAAAACGTCTACATTAAGCGCCAGGACTACCAGAGGCCGCAGAGACAGTCCCAGAAAAACGTTATGACAGGTACTGCTCTCCAGTCATTCCTCTTCTCACTTCTTAGTTAACCATTCCCTTTTCCAGGACCAGGCATTTTAATTTACTTTTAGATATGCCCCTCGCTGGCCGAGAATAAGTACATTAAAAATCTTTAAATTAGTTTTTAAAAATGTAACTGCTTTAGCTCTCTTCCCCACCCCCACCTGTACACCTTTGATTGTGGCATTTTCAGGATTCACAAAGGACCCGGGAGCTATCCAACCAGGTCTGGTGTTGGAGAGCTGTCCAGCCAGGTCTGGTGCTGAAATAGCCTCACAGAACTGGTTACTTTTTTTGGTTGTGCAGGCGAAGGAGGGTGACTATTTTTGGAAAGTGACTATTCTATTTTTTTTGTTGGTTTCTTTATTCTTTTTCTACAACCGGGTTTGTGTGTACTATAGGTTTTCTTAATATTTAATATTGTATAAGTTACCTTTTTTGTAAAAAAACAAACAAAACAAAACTATTAGGTGATGTTCAGTACTGAAAGTGCAGTATCTAACCAACCAGAATGTTTATGTTTAATTTTTAGGACAAGTACACCTTTGTTATATACATTTATTACATTGGTACCAAATACAGAAGAAAACTATAGTTCTGTTATACATCCTCCAAACTCTAGATTCTTGTTCTTAATTTCCAGCTGTTAGTGTAATGGTTATCACTGGATGAGAAATTCAGTGGTGCAGTCTGACTTCTGCTGTTTCCAGAAGTGTTCTTTTGTATCTTACTCTGTAATAGACTGTTATATAAATATAACGCATATGTTTTTCTTTTGCAAATAACACAAACAACCACAATAGAAAACTGCCATCTATTAAAACATGGCTAATATTTAAACAGTGCCTGTAACCCTCCCTGCATGCAATTACCACCTGGAGGCAGTAGTGTGTATGCTTGCTTGTACTGTATGTGTTTGGAGGTGAGACTGGTGGGGATGTTGGGCAATTTGGATGACAGGACATGCAAATTTCAAGAGAAGTTAAACCCAGTAACTACTTATAGGATAAAAATATTTGCAGCTTGCTTACTTAGAAATCTGTGCTTGCATTTGAAATGTGGCAAAGGAAGTGTTCTCTTTCTCTTTGAGTCTGGCTTACCTAACTTCAATGAATACATGAAGAAAGGTTGAAAAACACGGAAAGTGAGAGAAAAAGATTAATTGTTGTTGTTTTTTTGTTCTCTCTCCTGATGCCAGAGAAGGCAATCTATGCTAGTAATGGAGTCCACCCATGGTTACTTACCACTTTGTTTCCCCTGGACTGAGGATGGTGAGCACAGAGCATATTACAATCTTAATTATATACAGTGACATCCCTTCTTGGAAACCAATCCTTGACAGCTATTCAAACATTTGGAAAATGTATGAGTGAGAATGTTATACACAAAGCTCAACCAAAGGAGTCCTTACTACCTGCAGGGTGTAAAGCAACAGTGCCCCTAAGTGCATCCCCTCCCAGGTAATTAGTAGTTCTAGATTCTTTGTCCTGGTTCCAAGCATATGCGCTTTTTCCCAGAGAAAAATATTACCTCTGAGGTTAATTTGCCCAAACTCAGTCTGCATCTTTTATAAAAAATAATTAAATAAGCTTAATTTTAATCACCCATTAGATATTCACTCAAGTCCTTTCCTGAAGCACAGAGGATCATCATTTAAGCATGCCATGTAGTCATATTAGGGAGACCAGGTATATAATCTTTGGGTACAATATATTAAACAATAAACCAGATTCTCTCCAGTGCCTTAGTCACTTCCTAGTAATAGGTAAAAGAGTGCATTAACTCCCTCAGGCCACTAGGAAACCCTTTAGTGCATCAGAGTTATATGTTGTACATCAGAAGGACTAAGGCACTGTGTAGAAGAAAGTCCATTAATATTTGTGGTTCACCCTCATCTGGCTATAGCTATTTAATACCTTATTACAGAATAACTTTTGGGTTTAAAATTTGAATAGAATCAAGGACTCAGAAGGAGCTTCCTCATTTCCATTGAACTCCACTAAGTGCATGAGCATTACTTTCTACCCCTTATTTGGTGCACTCTTTATAGTGAATAATTTCCCAGTTTATTAAAAGCAATAAGATGTTCTGTTGTGAGCAATGCTGGGTGATGATTCCATTTCCTTGGTGCTGAAGCCACTCATACATTCTTGCCTTATGAATCATAGTGCATTCAAGGCATGCAATAATAATAATCCCCTTCCAAGGAGCAGCCTGTAGGCTCCAAGGGTAATTATGAAATTGTCCTGTGTAATTTACCTCCAAAGGAATAGAGGAAACAGAAGAAATGATAGCATTATGAATATTGTTCTTAAAAAATATCTTGATATCGCTAAATATGGGCACACATCCATAACATACTCTTATTGGGCACCTTTAAATTATGTGTGCCTTTCTCCATTAATTGCCTCTGGTTTAATATTTTTAATACTGCTGTGTATTAAGATGATGTGGTTTGTGAGTCAAATTTCATGCTGAGTTTAATATTCTCAGAACCTTAAGCTTCCAGCGATATCACTTGAGACTCTTTATGAGAGAGAGAATTACCTGAAATTCTAGTCATGCCAGTCCCACCAAATTATTGCAATAGGCACATATCCAAGCAATTTGCACAGATCCTGTTTAAAGTATTGCTTCTTATAAGAGCTCAATTGACAGTCTAAGGAGTTTGGGATGTATCAACAGAGCATTTTGGATTTCATTAATATAAAACAAAAGACAATCTGGAAATAGCTAAATCTATCTTAAAGATTTTATTCACTGATGTCCCGTCAAACTAATTGCTTCAAATCCCTATAGCTATAGCTCAACTTCTGCACTTGCTATTCAGTATTAATAAGGTGGCATGTTTGATTCTTATTGTTTTTAAAAATGAAAAAAAATTGGAGAGAGAATACCATTATGTCAACTGTATGGGACTCTGAATCTTAAAGATGTAGATGGATATAATCTTCTTTAGAATTTATATACACCAATAGATATGTATTTATATATACATACATTTTGTACAAATTTACAATTGACTTTTTGTATTCTCTTTTCTGCCATTACAAGAATGAGATGGAAACCAAATAGTTATTCCATCCTCTTATCCAGAGAGGATACTGAGAAGTCAGGTATATGCATGTACTTATTTCTCTGGGGTCAAATCTGAATATCTTTCTCTTTATTTAATGAAAGGGAAGAGTTCTGATTGGCTTGGGAAATTGGTAATTAGATAAGCTTCCTTTCATAGGTAGTGACTCAAATTAGCAATGATAATGAACTTGTGACCATATCTATGTGGTCTTAATATCTAGGTGGAAAGCAAAAAACACCTAGAAGAGGTTTAGGACCACCTAGACCACAAACCTGGATTGTTGCTCGATTTTCTATTTTTAATCTATATGTTGTGTGGAAATAAAACATATCTGCATAGCTAAAGGTAAAGTAAAAATATGACCATTATATGTTTAGTTTGATAAGTAGTTTTTGGAAAATATGGATAAATTAGCTTTAAAAACTTTGGCATCTGACTTTTCCATCATTTCTATTTATATCAATTGAATTAATTAGATAATGTTCAAAATTCTATTTTTTTTTCATTGTAAAGACATATGCTTTCAATTCTTTTCTGTGGGTGACAGTTGAGCAATTGCTAGTGATATTATGTGGAACTTGTAGGTTAAATTAGAAGCAGAAACTTTCATCTAATCTGGTCAGACTCCTCAAGTCCACTTTGAATCTGAATCTGAAAAGCCACTTATCTAGGTCAGCCTCTGTTGAAACTAATAATTGTGGCTTATAGATATTTAGTTCACATGAATTGATTGATTTATAGAGCGGTATTTAATCATTGATTGAATAATAATTTATCCTGATTCTGATTTTTTTTTTTAGTTTATTTGATAGCATTTGAAAAATAACTGATGGCTTAACATCAATACTTATTAATGTCACCAACCTAATAATACAATTGGTGCCATGTAGGAATGCTTAGCTAAGAACAAGAATTTAATTAACTTTAATCGGGGACAATGTCTTATGAAGTGGTTCTATGTGAGGCAGAGACTTGTGACTTAATTGGGTTGTTTTTATAGAGAGATTAACAATAGTGATGACAACAAGAACAACAACAGAAAAACTGATTTTTGAACTCGAATATATCTAAGAAACAATAATAAAACAGATATTAGAATTCATGGAAAATTTGTTTTGCTTTTCTATCAATAAAAAGTTTTCTTGTTAAATGGCTTTTTGGACACTTTCCTTATTAACTTAATGTATAATATAACAGGGTTACAAAAGTACTCACTATATTACCCTCAGATGCTCAAAGGAATTAGTTGTGTGTGTGTGTGTGTGTGTGTGTGTTTTAAATTCTATCACTCATCTGACCTTCTTCACAAACCAATTGCATGTGAGAAATAGGCAGTGTCTAACTTTTGGTATAACCCAATACACTGAGTGCAGTAGAATTTAGCAATCCTTTTAGGCAGATGTTCGGGCTCTTTAGGTTGTATCTTTAGTCCCAGATTTC